GGTTTGGGGTTTGGGGTTTGGGGTTTGGGGTTTGGGGTTTGGGGTTTGGGGTTTGGGGTTTGGGGTTTGGGGTTTGGGGTTTGGGGTGCGGGGTGCGGGTGCGGGTTCAGAGCTTAGGGTTTATAGGGTTTCCGGGGTTTACGGTCATGGGGTTAAGGGCTTAAGGTTTAGGGTTTACAGGATTTGCGGTTAAAACCTAAAGCCTAAACCCTCAACCCTAAACCCTAAGGTGCGGGGCCATCAACTTACGAGGGTCCATGCCCGCAGCATCCGTGATGAGCTTCGCACCGCCCGGGTGGACCTGGAGGGTGTTGTATAGGGGGTTCAGGGTTCAGGGTTCAGGGTTTAGGGTTTAGGGTTTAGGGTTGAGGGTTGAGGGTTGAGGGTTTAGGGTTTAGGGACCTGTAGGCTTATGTAGAGTTGCGGGTTGAGCGCTTTGTAAGGTTTAGGAAGGTTGGAGGTTGAAGGGTAGGTCGCGTGGAGAATGGGATCCGGAACGACCCACCCCGACCCAAAACAAGGCAGAAGCCTCACCTAGGCCCTGTTTTGGGTGGTGTAGTTAGGTTGGGTTGGGGAGGAGTCTAACCCTAAACCCTGTGCCCCTATAAACTTCGTGTGCTGAGGTCTTGCGGACCCCAAACCCTAAACCCTAAACACCTACCTTTGGGCTAGCCATTCCCAACCTTGGCGAACTTCGTGAGGTCGTATGCCTGCGGGAAGGCAGGTTGTGCAGTAAAGCAAGTACCGTACATAACTTCAGCAACCCACAAAGTTCACATATTCAAGGGCTGGATGAAGATCATGCAAGTTGACGGATGGATGAGTTTAGGGCCGAAGGTACCCGAAGTCAACCCTAAACCCTAAATCCTAAACCCTTAACTCTACACCCTAAACTCTACACCCTAAACCCTAATCCCTAAACCCTAAACCCCTAAACCCTAAACCCTACACCCTAAACCCCAAAAAACTCAACCTTCAGCTCGAAGCGCCCGCCACACCCTCAGGACATGTTCCTTTTTGAGCATTTGTTCGTGGCAGGTTTTGGAGAAGGGCATAAATTAGGATGTTCCCCGTTATACTAACAGTCCTTGAAAGGGATTATGTCACCCCCTATTAACAAGGGCGAGCATCCCCAGGCGTAAACCTCAACCCGAATCCTGTCCGACAGCAAGGGCGCTCAGAGCGCGCTAGATGCAACCTTATCATCTTGAATCTCCAAACCGCCCTTAAGCAGGGAAACGTGCCCGAAAGGGTTACGGCTACGGTTAGGGTCAAGGTAGGGCTAGGGGAAGCGCTAAAGGTCAACCCCAAAATCCTGGCCAGAGGCCTATCCCTGCTTTCGGCACCGACTTCCTTGCTACAGCATCCCAGCCCTGCAAATACCCAAACAGAAGGGGTAGGGTATCCGGGTATACGGTATACACCTCCAGGTAGTCTTGGATGTAGGGTTTGGGAAGGTTGGGGCTCGGTGCTTTGGGTTGAAGTGGTAGGGTTTAGGGCTTAGAGCCTCGTAAAGAATAAGTCGCTTCTCGAAATGATGGTCCCTCTTGGGGTTACCATTATAAGGCGGCCCGTAACATCTAGGGTACCGGGTACCCTAAACCCTAAACCCTAAACCCTAAACCCTAAACCCTAATCCCTAAACCCCAAACCCTAAACCCCAAACCCTAAACCCTAAACCCTGAACCCCAAAAGATTTTGAGAATGGACCATGTGAAGATGGGAGGTAGGCATGCAGATGCGCCTTGCCGTAGAGCACGACCCAGCAGTCGTCCTTTTTGGACTTAATCCCCGAAACCTTAAACCCTAAACCCTAAACCCTAAACCCTAGCAGACATCCTGTTTCCTTCCCTACACCCCTACCCAAAAAAGGCTCATATGTAGTACCTTTTTAGGGCAGTGAACGATAACCCCCTTTAGCTGTTCGCAAAAAGGAACGTGCATAGGAGCCTTCAGGTAAACTAGTGCAACGTCTAAGCAGGGAGTGTGCGGGCTTGTACAATGCCAGGATGGGGGCTCGTTAGGCCTTCTGACTCGCCAAGGTCAACCCAATGAAGGGGCATTTTCAGGGCTTGTAGGGTGTGTATAACATGTCGCACCGCTCTCTCCCAGCACAGTGGATGGAGGCACATCAGACGTCTGCAGCGCGTTATAAAGTAACTCTGCAGGACCTGCTCGAAGAGTGGGAAAAGTTGCGGCGACATTGGATGCGAAAGAACCCGTTTGGCAGTCGCAAGAAGGCTACCCTTAACCCAACGCCATTAACGCTATAAACCCTCAACAGTGAAGTTTGAATAAAACACCGTAAACCCTTAACCCTTAAGAACCTGAACCCTGAGAAAGAACCCTTCAAGCCCGTCTGCAAGTTCGAAAGCATCGAACATGCTTTGCGGGTGCCCCGGAGGTCTCTCGTGAAGGGATACGCGTAGGGTTCGGGCCTAAGGTTTAGGGTTTAGAGTTTAGGGCGTATTCAGGGTTGCCGGGCAGTTGAGGAGGTTGCTTGAAGGGTCGGGAAAGTAATTGGATTTAGACCCTAACCAATCGCAAGGTAGACATTACCCTACGTACCCTGTAAATCTCGAAACAAGCAAAGGGCACGGGCCGTCGTGCAAAAAAGTCAACGGCTCTAGCTCTGGGGCAGCCCAGGTTCAGAATGGGTTGCCATGCGCAGGATTTCATACTTGCCGTTGCTGCTTACCATTCTGATTGCTCCCCTGCCGCTTCGAACCCTGGACCATGAACCCTAAACCCTGGAGTTTAGGGTTCAGGGTTCAGGGTTTAGGGTTTAATTAGGGTTTTGGGGTGACCCTAAACGCTATAGCCCCCGGTGCAGCACAAGCGGGTCCTTGGTGTTGTGCTTGGCGACCTCCTCCATGCTAAGCACCTGCACATTGAGGATCGGGCAAAGGGGTTTAGGGTTTAGGGTTTAGGGTAAGCATTTTCATTGCATCTTCAGGCTTTTGCGTTCTAGGTCATTTTGGGCGGTCCTAGGCAACTCCAAAAGCAAACTGCAAGAACCCTAACGCCTCTCAAACCCCAAACCCCCCAAAAAACCGAAAGCCGAAACCACAAACCTAACCCCAAACCCTAAACCCTAAACCCTAAACCCTAAGCCCTAAGCCCTAAACCCTAAACCCTAAACCCCTAAACCCTAAACCCTAAAACCCTAAACCCTAAACCCGAAGCCCTCGCGCAGCTGCAGGCCTTGTCGGAAGCCATGGCTGCAATGAAAATGCAAGGGGAGGATCGAGATCCACGAAGTCACCAAGTGATCGGAAAAGGGCTGCAGCGAGAAGCTCGTGGTTCAGAATCCCCCTTCAAACTGGGCTGACTTCGGAACCCCTGCTAAATATCTTATAACGCTTAGGCTCCTTCTTGTAGTTTCTACACAAACCCAAAAGGTTTAAAGTCATAAGCGCCAGCCAGAACAAAGCCAAGCAAATGCACAGCCCCCAGCACATGATACTAAGCCCTAAACCCTAAACCCTAAACCCTAAACCCCAAACCCCAAACCCGAAACCCTAAACCCTAAATCCTACACCCTACACCCTACACCCTAAACCCTAAACCCTACACCCTAAACCCTAAACCCTAAACCCTATGCGGCTTTCGGGTTCTGCGGCATTTCCCAAGCTCGCGCCTCATCCTCGACCGCACCCGTAGAGATCGCGAGGTGCGACTTCCGGATGATCTTGACCGCGCGCTTGACGCCTTCAAAGGGTTTAGGGTTTAGGGTTTAGGGTTTAGGGTTTGGGGTTTAGGGTTTAGGGTTTGGGGTTTAGGGTTTAGGGTTTAGGGTTTTAGGGCTTAGGGTTTAGGGGCTTGAAGTTTAGGCATCCCTCGCGGGGTTGTCACCATGCTAGCTTTCGTGATCAGCCCTTGTATTTAAGGATGATGTAAGCTCAATTGTCTGTTTATGGCTTAGCACCTTAAACCTTTCGGGTGCCCCACGATGCTAAGCCCGCATAACGAAGCCACCCTCAGCCCCCAAACCCCAAGCCCGAAACTCCAAACCCTCAACCGTTTAAACCCTAAACCCTAAACCCTAAACCCTGAACCTTATAAACCCTAAACCCTAAACCCTAAACCCTAAACCCTAAACCCTAAACCCTAAACCCTAAACCCTAAACCCTAAACCTTATAAACCCTAAACCCACAATGCAGGAGCCGCCTAGCGATCGATGGAACATGGCGAAGACCTCGCCATATGCGCCCTCTCCCAGCTTGGGTCCTTGGAAGTAGTACCTGAGTCTTGGTATCCTACAGGGTGGGGCCCCCTTACTATACTAACTGTAGTTAAGGGACTTATAACCTAACTTAGGGTCCTTATAACCCAATTTAGGGCCCTTATAACTCTACTTATAACTAGGGGGCCCCACCCTGTAAACCCTGGCCCCTTAACCCTTTTTGAGCTTGGTTGCAGTATAAGGGAACCCAGAACCAACATCAGGGCAAAAGGGTACCACCGGGCTAGCAAGGAGTGAGGCGAGGACGACCTAAAACAAGGTTTTGAGTGAGTGATACGGCGTCCAAATGGCGGCAGAAGGTTTACGGGTTTGAGGGTGATTGAGGGTGATGCAGCATGAGGTGGTAGGGTCTTGTCAGGAAGAGCGCACGTCAAGCACGAGATGATCGCTCAATCGAGATGAGAACGCAACCCGCCCACACGATTCTCGATTCGAAGATGCCTCTTCCCAGCGGACTCTCTGGTGTTCAATACCCGGCATGACGCCGGCATGTCGCCTGCAACTTTGCAAGGGCGATTCTTAACTCAAGATGCCTCCGACACCACGGACCATTCCTTTCTAAGTCCCTTTTTGTTTTTGTCTGCCGATGTTTTGGTCGATCGCCCGGCGGCTCCAGGGATGCTGCTGCTGGAGGCCATCACCGTGACAAAAAGGGGAACGGCAGGGGACTTATGACCTCTGACTCTGACCCCGACATAATGGCGAACAGTTTTCTGGCCTTCGCGTTGTGGCTGATCTGCTGGCGAGGCAGGATCAACAATTTTCGGCATGCTGACTGCGCCCAACTGTTGAGGAACTGTCCAGCACAAGTGCTTCTGGTAGGGGACATCGGTAAATGGGCTGCGTGTTTGATGCCTCATCACAGTGCAGGATGTAGAGGGAATTGTCATGCTCGATGACCCCAACTGGCCTCACCTCATCAGGCAGTCCGAGCTCCAATGTCACGCCCCTGGTCTCCCCTGCATTCAACGCGAGAATACGTTTTCCCTTCAGGTCTGCAACGTAGATCTTTCCTTGCTCAGTGACATGCAGACCATGCAGGTGAACGTCCCCTTCGTGCTGAAAGTCTGATACGACGGCCGGGCTAGCGCTGCCCGGGCGGAATCGAAAAATGCGTTTGTCTGGCGCACCACAAAAGTAGATGTCATCCTTGGTGGCAAACATGAAGGTGAAGGTCCCTTTTCTAGGATATTTAGAAGGAAGCTCGATCACCGGTGTCAGTGCTGAGCCTTCCAATCGCTGGATTTTCTCAGTATCAGCAACGTAAAGCACTCCGTTTGGAGAGCAAACCAAACCACGAAGGTGTGGAACCTCGAGCAAGATTTGTCCAACGCTATTTGCGAACTTGAGTAATCTGAAGCTTCTGTGACACTTGTCTACAACAAAGAGATCTCCGGCGGGGGACACTGCAACGAAGACCGGTTTTCGCAGCTCGTTGTAACCATTGATGGAAGCTCCTGAACCGGCCACAATCTGGCTGTGCATCTCGCCTGGTCTGCAACGAAGAACCCTGTTGTTGACACGGTCAGCAATGTAGAAGGCTCCATCATGCCAGCCAAAGTTCGGACTGTTCACATGAGGAGTGACAGCCTGGCAATTGCGTTCGCTATCTGCACCCAAATCCGGACACCAATGTTTCAGACGTCGCCTCTTTGGGGAATGTTTTTCCCACAAGCCATCAGATTGCCTCTTTCGGTGGAGTTGCATGGCGCTCTTGACTGACTTGCTCAAGCCAGGACCGACTGTGCCAGCAGATTGGGCCCAAAGACGTAGCTGCTCCAAACTGTTCAAGGACAGTGACGGACAATCCACCTGTTGCAAAAGCATTCCGAAGAAAGCTGTTCTGTCTCCTTTTGAGGCGTTCACCCATTTGAGAACCCCTTGCAGCACAGCCTCTTCCCTTGTCACATTCAGGTCACTACTTTGCAGGAGTCTCCCCAGCTGCTCATGCGTCAAATGAGCAAAGTCCTCGAGCTCAGCGCATTCCGAGAAGTTGTGGACGAGCTGCTCTTCGCACAGCAAGGTGAGATCATCAAGTTCATCGTGAGACCAAATCTGGGGCAGCAGCTTCAGAGCGCTCGCGCCGTCCAGCGATGCTCGCCATGCTGACGCAATCTCGGCTGCAAGAATTGACAAACCGTAGGCGCCAGCGAGCTTCCACCTTGGCTTGATTAGGTGTGAACCGAGCATACCCTACAGGGTGGGGCCCCCTAGTTATAAGTAGAGTTATAAGGGCCCTAAATTGGGTTATAAGGACCCTAAGTTAGGTTATAAGTCCCTTAACTACAGTTAGTATAGTAAGGGGGCCCCACCCTGTAAGGCTCCCAACAGCCCAACGTAGGTGTTGTTGACAGACTTTATACCCAAATGAAGGTAGTATTTGTATACTTGGAGCCCTGATGATATACTTCTTGTTCCTTCACCTTAAACTGCCTCCAAGGAGTATCCGGTGTGAAATGGTAAAACACCAAAACAGACTTTCAACTTAAAAAACTTGCCAGTCAACACAGGAACAACTCTACTTGATCGTCAATATTCTCGACTTCTGGTTCTCCCCCATAGATGCAATCCTCAGACGTCACCATATCGCTGAGGAAAGCCGGAACAGCGAATTCGTAGACATGTTCTCACTTCTCTAACAATGTGGTCGTTGGGGGTCCTTACTATAACGCGGGCCCTCTTATTCAAAAAGGAAGCATAATTTTGAGAAATGGCCATGTATCCTTCAGAGTTGAATCGAGGAAACATGGCAATGTGTTCTGACCAAATAGGGTTTAGGGCTTTAGGTTTTAGGGGTTGAGTAGGTTCTTACAACCAGAAAGTGCCTCGGTTGCTTCCGAAGATCCAATAAGGCTCCAACAACACTACTGGAAGCGTCGATTCTCACTGCCTCGCCGGATTTCACCAGCGCTGCCTCCTGAAAGTCACCGCAGAGCATGGTTTTCAGCACCGGACTTGCAGCTGACCTGGGATCGTGACAATGCAGCAGAGCTCCCCAACATGTCAGATGAGAGATGCAAAGATCCGAAACCAATGAAAACATGTTTTCTTTCTGGTGACTTAGCAAGTTCCATGACTGAAGCAATAGTCAACACGCGAACTGCCAGCTTGGTACTGTACTTGCATTCAGAAGCCACCCCCTTTGGCAAATGTCCAAACATGAGATCCCGAGAAAGCCACCAATTCCTCACTGTCACTGTCTCCTCTGAAGCCCTAAACCCTCAACCATAACCCTAAACCCTACAAGAATCTTATTAAGCAAACCCAAAGCAGCAGGACAACGACGTGCCCATGGTGCTCTTGCCCGTCGCGGCTCTGCAGTGTGACATCACAGCGGAACTGCTGCGCCCGGAAATCTCGGAACCTGGGTGTGTGCTGCTATTTAGGGTAACATTAGGGTTCAAGGTTTAGGGTTTAGGGTTTGGGGTTTAGGGTTTGGGGTTTAGGGTTTGGGGTTTGGGGTTTAGGATGCCGTTGGCGGGATCGACCATCAGGGAGTGCAACGGTTTATCCTTCAGGGGGAACATCACGATGTGAACAGAAACCATAGGAAACCCAGCTGGTTTCGATCCATAGACCCTAAACCCTGAGCCCTAACCCTAAGGGTCCATGTACCTAAATATGGAATTCTTGGGCCTTAAAGTACTTCCTATTTAGGGACTTTAGGGCCCAAGTACACAGTAATGAGGTACATGGACCCTTAGGGTAAGCCCTAAACCCTAAATTCGAAAATCTTAGATCGCGTGCAATGCTGGCTCATCACCCCCACCTCGCGGACCAAATGAACCCTAAAATTGTGGGTCACATGCCCGAAACAACTGTAATCCCTATTATGACAGTATCCGAACCATGAACCCTTTTAGGGCTGATTTCGCCCTTAAGGCTTACGTCTTAAGGCAATCCTGAAAAACCAAGGCGCTGCTGAAAAGTGCACGCATGGTGCTCGGCCAGGTTTGCACGCCGGAGCTTCATGGCGGCATCCGGGGGAGGTGGCGGAGGGAGGGGGGGGGGGGTGGTCGGGGTTTAGGGTTTAGGACTTAGGGTTTCGGGTTCAGGGCTTCGGATTTAGGGCTTCGGGTTTTTTTCTTTATAAGGGTTGTTTGGGTTCAAGGTTTAGGGTTTAGGCATCGGGGGGGGCACACAACCTACTCAGAAGCGCATGCGCTCCGCGACTCGGACCTGCAAAGGGCTCCTCGCGTGAGTAGCAGGGCAGTATCCATAGACGAATAGTTTCTAAATTCGTCGATACCCAGACCCCTTGGAGCATCCAAACAGGTAGATCCCTTCAGGGTTCCGAAGAATGACCCCATGGTAGTATAGGGTACTATTTGGGGCTCTACTTTGTGGATCCTTGGGTATGGGAGGCTCCTGTATCTGGATGAATGGAGAGCCCATAGATCTTGCGATTCGCACTGCGTATACAACTTCACCAACTGATGAAGAAGGATGGTTTAGGGCAGTGCTAACGTTTAGGTTGGGAGGACCCAGAGATGTATCGTTCATTGCAAAGTCTGACCCACATAGAACACTGGAATCTACATCCTTAAGGGGATTTGGGCTGGGCAAAGGGCAGCCATTGAGCCCACATCGGAAGATATACCCCAAACCCGAATCCCTGAACCCTAAACCCTAAACGGCGGAGGTGTTTTTTTTTCCTAACGTTGGCCCTGGCTCGTGGTCCTTGCTAACGTTTGCCCAGCAATTCCTGGCTCTAAATGCTATGAAATGCAGCATTTCCGGGTGCTTGTAGGCCCTAAATGCCTAAAAACACAGCGTTTCTGCGTATTACAAAATTTGAAATGCTGTAGATTGCAGCATTGCACCTGCTTGCAGGCTCTAAATGATGAAAAACACAACATTTTTATGCTATTCCATTAATGCACTATTGTACATGATTGTATATTCTTGAATGCTATTGATACTATTTACCATTCTTGTATATTACTTCATTCTTGCATAGTCTTCTTGATTGTTGCACTTCATTGAATGTTTTGTATGTTATTGTATATTTTCGTATATTGTTGTATACTATTGTAAATTATTGTATAATATTGTAAGCTATTCTTATGTATATTCTGGTATATAACTGATGCATATTTTTTTCTTGTATATTCTTGCTTATTAGCGCGTATTGTTGTGTATTCTTGAATGTTTTGTATATTATTGTATATTGTCGTGAACTATTCAACAATCTTGTATATTATGGAATATTATTGTACTTTCTTTATGGTTGTATCTTCTTATATCTTACTGCATATTCTTGCAAAATATTGTCCATTCCTGTATGTTGTTGTATATTACTAAATATTGTTGCAAAATATTGTATATCATTGTGTAGTATTGGATAATGTTCTAAATTATTGCATGCTCTTGTATATGCTTGTAGATTTTGTATATTGCTGTGTATGATTGAATATTGTTGCATTGTCTTGTATTTTCCTGTACATTATTGTATATTAGTGCATATGGTTGTGTATTGTCGAAAATTGTTGTATATTCGTAATATTCTTGCATACCATTCTCAGTTCTTGTATCTTGTTGTATGTTGTTGTATAGTATTCTATGTTACGGTATATCATTGGATATGACTGTGAAATATTGTAAATTGTTGTATATTATTGAATATTATTGTATATTCTTGTATATTCTTGTATATTCTTGTATATTATTGTATATTGTTGTATAATGTTGTATATTGTTGTATATTGTTGTATATTGTTGTATATTGTTGTATATTATTGTGTATTATTGTATATTTTTGTATATGATTGTAAATTGCTCGCATCATGGGTTTGGAAGGGGTTCATATGCTTTAAAGCAAGCTTGCCCGGCTTAAACAACAGCGGGGGGGTTGGGGGGGGGAGGGGGGGGGGGGGGGGGGGGGGGGTGGGGGGGGGGGGGGGGGGGGCAGCCCCCACCCCCCCCCCCCCCCCCATTTTCACACAATGCTCGCATCATGGGTTTGGAAGGGATTCATACGAGTTGAAGCAAGCTTGCCCGCCCCCCAAAATAATGTGCTGTCTATATTGTATATTTATTCAATATCTATAAATAAAGAAAAATTAATGAATACATATTTATATATATATAGAGTTTTTAATCTATAATATGTTTTCATAACCAATATGTTCTGGTTTATTGTACGTAGAATTCATAAAACACAATACATATTTAGTATATACAAAAAATAGTTGTATGACATTATATTATATCTATATATTCTTATAAGCCATTTTTGTATATCTGATATATGTATATATTGTCTATATATGATCACGTATTATATGATATTATGTTATACTACAGAAATTATTACAACCAAGATCTGACTGCGGGACCGGGAAACGCGGGAACAAAGGACCATACTACATGCCTTATTATACTATTACTACGGAAACATATTACATTGATACAATCAAATGACCACGGTACCGGGAGACCACGGGACCAGAGGACCAAAGGACCGCGGGACCCAAGGACCGCGGGACCAGAGGACCACGGAACCAGAGGACCACGGGACCAGAGGAGAGGACCAGAGGACCACGAGACCTGAGGACCAGGGGACCAGAGGACCACGGGACCAGAGGACCAGGGGACCTGAGGACCAGGGGACCACAGGACCAGGGGACCAGATGACCAGAAGGCCTGGGGCCAACGTTACCAAGGCAAACAAGCCAGGGCCAATGTTAGGAAAGAAAAAAACACCGGGCCCAACCCTAAACCCTAAACCCTAAACCCTAAACTAACAAGGGTGCTGGCTTTTCGCCACGCCTATTTCCGTAGCAACGACTCCTGATGCCGTCCCCAACTCAGACGTCATCCAAACATTCAAGGCTTTGGGGAACATTTAAGGTGCAGGCACCACTACTTTCCATAAAGTCTACATTAAACTCTAAACCCCTAGCCAAACCCTAAACGCTAAACCTTAACCTTATATGCCCCCTTAAAAAACAACAAACACTACAGCAAGCCAACCGCGAGTAAGGCGCTCTTCTTCGGGACTCACGTCAGTGATCTGGTGCCTTCGCAAGGTGACTACGTCGGTTAAACAAACACATGGAAGCTCTTTTGACTGAGTAAGTCTACTTAGTATGCCCTAGCAACCCTCTTATAATCCCATAGCCCTAAACCCCAAACCCTAAACCCTAAACCCTAAACCCTAAACCCCTACTTCCTATGTCGAAAAAGGCTTCCAAGGCAGCCCAGCCCAAAGAGGGAAGGCTTCGGCTTCGAGAGTAATTAAGGCCCAGAGGGTCCAGGTACATCTCTCTCTCTCTCTATATATATATATACATATATGTGTATGTATGTATATATACATATATGTATATCTATCTATCTATATATATATATATATGGTACATCTCTCTCTCTATATATATATGTGTGTATGTATATATATATGTACGAGGGACCTCTGTGTACTATGTGAACGCTTTCTCTTTTTCAACCGTTTTAACCATTTCAGTCACTTCAACCAATTGCTTCAAATGGTTGAAACCGTTGAAACGGTTGAAATGGTTGAAAAAGAGAGGTTTTCAACCGTTTCAACCATTTCAACCATTTCAAA